TACAACTGACATTCCTCGTTCTTAAGATCTAGCACATGCTTACTACTCCCTTTAAGTGGCAGAAGGAAATGCAAATGCAGTTAGAAATGTGAATACTCAGGCACACTGGTGCTGCAGCAAGACAAAGAGTTGTTATTTTGGATGTATCTGGAAAGTGAACAGAAAGTAGTCCTCACTGAATAGTCAGCAGCAAAAAACTAGGCTGCTTCCTGTCCCAACATGTTACTGAAGTGGAGAGGATGGTAAGAGCTGACCCAAGAGCACAATTTTGGAGGCTTGGCATTCCATCTGGATGCAATGTTCTATCCCAGGAGCCTCAGTCACTTAGGAACGGGTATAGTTACTCATACATTTACCTTTCTTCTCCAGTTCCTGGTGGTTTCCAGAGCTTGTAACAGCTCCAGGTCTCAAGAAACAGTGTGGAACTGCTGCTGAGAACGTTTTGATCTGATGAGCCACTTGGTGTGTCTGCTCACACGCTCCAGCTCAGCCCCTGCAGCAGGTGGCTTTTTGGGCAGGATGGTCACTGCTCTTCTAGTGTCCCCTTGAAAATGGCCACGTTTCTGACCACACAGTGTGGCACGTTTCTGGCTGTGACATTGGTATTTTAGTGCAGTGACTAAATTGCCACCGAACTGTGCGTTTCCCATGCACATCAACTGCAATGGTTACATCTCCAGTTTCACTTTGATGCGCCAGTTTCTGGGAGCCTGACCCTCAGTCCCTCCCCTGGCTCAGCAGAGCAAATCCCGGTGTGAGCAGCGCGTCCTGCTGGGAAGGCCACAGGAAGGCGTTGGTCTGCAGTTGCCCTCTGCAGGTAGAAACGTGTCTTTACTTGGAAGTGCTCATCAATCCTCTGTCACTCCAGGTTGTCCTTGTCACCGACGGCTGCCTGGGCATCTGCCGGCCAGCGAAGCGACAGCAACCGGTTCCCGCTGCCTTTCCCCTTTCCATCCAAGCTGTATGTCATGTGCATGGCAAACCTGGAAGAGGTGATGTCTTTATCACATACCTTCCTCCTTCTTTGTTGCTCCTCTCTGAACTAATGAGCAGGTCAGCACAAAGCATACTTGGATGTTCTTGTGCTTAAAGTTTAGTTGACGTTATGGGGTTTAGTGGTAGTTCTTTGGCAAAATTCAACTGCAGTAGCTTTTTAAATGTGTATTATTGCACTGTTCTTATCTGCTACTATTGCTTTATTATAATAATCTCTATAAATTGTGTTGGTTGCTCCCTGGCAAATATTATGCAACTGTTATGTCTCTGTGTTATTGCCTTTACTGGATTACGTTGAATGCTTTGGGGGCTTCTCTTAATCTACAATTAAATTCTTGAGTAAATGACTTCTATTGCAAAGATGCTGAACACTTAACAAGAGCTTTTTGTAGAAATGTGAGTGACCAAAATTCTAAAGTCTTCAAGCCAGTGTTCAAACCAACTTCTCATAGTTTGGAAGGAAAGGTGACTGTTTTCTTTCTCTTCAGATAACTTTGAAAATCTCAGTACCAGCTTTAAAAATCTTGGCAGTAGTTAAAACTCTGTGGAATAAAAATGTTAGCCTGTATAGACTAAAACTTCATTAAAACTTCATAAAACTTCTATCAATAGCATTGCTTTTGGCTGGACATCTGTATTTTTCTGTCCATCTCAAAAGGATTTTCTACTTAGGCATGCAATAGGTATTTCAGCTTCAAGGCTGAAATTTCTCCATCAAGGATGATCCTCTTGACCAAGCTGATGGATTGAAGCATTGTTTACACATCAGAATAACTGGGAATAAAATAAATGTCCTATTGCTGATAAGTTTATGTGCCTTCATATGTATTCTCTGAGAACTTCTCAAAGAGTTGGACCTAGATAATCTTTAAGGACCCTTGAGCCAAACCTTTCTATGATTCTATTAATTGTATCTGCCTTCCCTCCTAAAAATTATATTATCCTGCAGGAGCTGGAAACTTAGCAATACCAAAAAGGTGTTATACTAGTTAAGGCATTCTCATGCTTTTGAAAACTAAGAGCTTCTGGGATTTTTGGTTGCTTAGACCTCTTTTGAAGCAGAACTGAACATGATAGAGCAATGTAGTGGGAGTTGGACTTAATAGTCCTTATGGGTCCCTTCCAATTGGAGATGTTCTGTGATTATTTGCTACAAGGCCAGATGCTGCATCTGCTCTAACAGAATTGCCACATCAGGAGTACATGTCCTGGGACACCAAGAATATTGGTTTATTCAGAGAGAAGAGAGGTAATAAAAAATCATGATAGCATCCAGCCAGCTGCTTTTCGCTGTGTTGTGCCTATTTGCTGAAAACATAACTGGTTAACAAAAGGAGAATGAAAAGACAACAAGAACAATTAATTTTATTTTTTTACAGCTTCAAAGCACAGATTCCTTAGACTGCCTGGAACGACTCATAGATTTAAACAATGGGGAAGGGCAAATTTTCACAATTGATGGACCCCTCTGCCTGAAGAATGTACAGTCCATGTTTGGGTTGGTAGACTTGTAAATAACACACCTTTGTGAAGGTTTTCAGTTAGCATCTGTGAAAGAAAACATATAACAAGCAATCTGTTGAGATGGGATGTTCTAATTAATGCTTGTTTCAATTTGTAATCTTGTTAACTGTATTTTTGTCTTCACCTTCACTGGTTAAGGTCAATATTTAATTTAGTCATTCTGTAATAAACCATGGCTGCTCTTCATGGCTGGCAGATAGAAGGTGCTAATTTCCAGAATGATTGTTAGTTTGCCATCAGTGGGATAATATGCTGCTTTGTTTTGTAATTTAGCAATGCTAGAACTATTGAATTAACTGTAGTAAAGAAAAAATAATTGGCAAGCTTAGTGAGTGTGCTTTGAATGAGCTATTTTAATTTGATATGTATTGTGTTTTCCTTGATAATAACTGATATTAACTGTGTTCTAGGAAGCTAATAGACCTGGCTTATACACCATTCCATGCTGTTCTCAAGTGTGGTCACTTAACATCTGATGTGCAAGTATTTCCCAGACCAGAACCTTTTGTTATAGATGAGGAAATAGACCCAATCCCTAAAGTAATTAATACAGGTAACAAATCTTTGAGTGCTTTTTTACTTAAATCCATTTGATTTCTACCTTTTCACTGTCACCTCTAAAACCTGTATCGTTATGGTTTCATCCACTTTTCCCTGTGCCAGGATCATTTGCTGACTGTGTAATTTTGGGGTATATGTGGCACCAGGGGACAAGGGCTGAAGTAAGGTAGAGGCTCTTTAAAAGCTTAGGGTGCAAATTTTTAGGGGCAGGGGCCATGGAAGGCAGCCATGGGCTGCTTTCCATCAAATACCCTCATAAACTTCACAGGGGATAGGAGAGATGTGTTGGATAAGGGGCTGCATTTTGTATTGGACTTGCCTTTATCAGAAAAACCCTGTGTTACCAGGTGAGACTAGTGTGTTTCTGGAGCTTGCTTCAAGGAATCCATTAGGAGTGGAGGTGAGAGGAATTGGTGGGGCAGCAGAAGTAAAGGCTGAGATTTATGAGATCTCTGTCTTCATAGTGTGTCCTCATCCTGGCATTTCTTACTAAGTTATTTTTAAAAACTGCTAGGAGGGAGAACCTTTCTCAGCCCTCCCAGCAGTGGACACTGCTCCCATGGGCAGCAGGTAGGCTGTGGATCTGACATTTGTTGTAGCCAAGAAGTGGGGAGGAAATCAAACAAGGGTGAGGCTGAAGCACATGGCTGCCTCAGTCCTTTACCAGCCACTGTCTACAGCTCTGGACAAGATGGAGCTGCAGTTGAGCTTCCAGAGGGAATGTAAAGTTCAAGAACCACAATTCAGTCTTCCCAGTCCTGGGAACATGCCTCAATTGGGACTAGTCCTGCCAGAGATCTGATGGGAATTCCTGCAGATCCTGTGGTGCCACTTGGAAGCTAGATTTGCTTTAGGCTGGCTGTACAGCCTTTTATTTAAAGATAACCTATGTTTTCTCTCCTTTTGAATTCAAAATGCTGGTACAGTGTACAAAACAATTTCACAATTCTGTATTTGTCTAGCAACGGGGTTCATGGGCATCAGTGTTTATGTGATGAAAGTTCTGTTCTTAGGTGTCAGGGTGTTATGTATGAATGTTTGTATCTTACTCACACCCACACTCCAGCCAAGGTTGGGGCTCTCTTGTGCTGCCTCTAGTCCCTGCTTCAGAAAGCTTAGTGCTGTATAAATTGTTATGTTAAATAGATTCTGGATACATTGTGGCTATTTCTGCATCTGACTTAAGCCTATTGTCTCCTTACAGACCTAGAAATTGTTGGGTTTGTAGATATAGCTGACATTTCTAGCCCTCCTGTCTTATCCAGACACTTGGTACTGCCCATTGCACTTAACAGAGGTGAGCAGGTTTTGTTTCTTTTGGCAAAAACTGATGTAAGATTCACTTGTAATGTCTCTTGGGCTTTAGACTAGAAGCAGAAGTTTTATGCTTTATCACAATGCCAGATGTCTCTAAAGAAATGTCATGTTTGTGTGGTTACAGTAAAACCTTGAACACAAGCTTGTGCTTTTTTTGAAAAATGTGTTCTTTAGAAAGTTACTAAGTGTCTTTATAGCATCCTTAAATAGCATTATTAATAGACCATGCTAATCATTATGCTAAAAATATGTGGTGCAAGATGAATATTTAATGCCTGCACCTAACTTGTTCTTAGAATGATTTGTGGTGAAAAGTCTGACCTTAATATTTGATCTACAAAAGTATTAACTGGTTCTTGGATGGTAGAGGATACAGGGTGGTGTCATGGACATAGAACTGATGTGTTTGAATTTATTCTTATCTTGTCTCTTTATTTGCTTTTATTCTTCCCCAGAAGGTGATGAGGTGGGACCTGGGATCACAGATGACACTGAAGATGAGAACTCAGCTAATCAGATTGCTGGGAAAATCCCCAACTTCTGTGTTTTACTACATGGCAGCCTGAAAGTGGAAGGCATGGTGGCTGTTGTCCAGTTGGGGTATGGAGCTGGATGTCTGCCTGAAAAATCTCTTACTTTGCTCACTTAGCCTTTATTTGTGAATTATGCTTATTTATATCTGTTCTCTGCACAGAGCTCTGCACTGCGGGACAAAGCTGTGGAGTTTTTAACTGAGGATATGTTTCTGGATATAAAATGCAAATAGTGAGCCTCTGCACTGTCGGGGGGCATATTCCAGGCAAAGAGGGTTGGAATGTTTCCAGCTTTTGGGTTTTGCTCTTTTCAATAGGCCAGAGTGGTATGGGATGCTCTATTCACAAGCTGATAGCAAGAAGAAATCAAACCTCATGATGTCTCTCTTTGAGCCTGGTCCTGAGCCCCTTCCGTGGCTGGGGAAGATGGCACAGCTTGGACCCATTTCAGGTACTGGGCACACTCGTTTCAGTAACTCCTACACATCCAGTGTTGCATGGGTGACCTTGCCAAATCTCAGTTGTTTATTTTCTTTTTTTCTCCCAGATGCAAAAGAAAACCCTTATGGAGAGGATGACAACAAGAGCCCTTTCCCCTTGCAACCCAAGAACAAGCGCAGCTACGCGCAGAACGTTACCGTGTGGATTAAACCAAGTGGTCTCCAGGTAGTGATACAGGTTTTGGATTCCATGCTTTATTTTCATCAGCAGTAGCCATCTGACCAGCCAAGTGCAGTCTGTGTGTGTCTTGTCCATTTATTTAATTCCTTTATTGCTTTTCTTTCATTTCTATAAACACTGCCTCTTTAGAATGTCCTGGTTAAAATGCAGGCAGAAGCGTAGCTGTGCCGTGAAGGCTCTGTCTGCAGTGCAGCATCTGCTGTAGTTTATTGGATTTAGTATCATTACCATTTATGTTTCAGTCTTTGAGAGCTGCAGTCCTGTCAGTGCTCAGGATAATTTAACAATCAGTAGTTGAGGATTGTTTCCCCAGCTTTCCCAGCAATTGCCAAGATTTTTTTATTTTTATTTTTTTCTTTTCTGCAGACAGATGTACAGAAGATCCTGAGAAATGCAAGGAAACTTCCTGAAAAAACTCAAACCTTCTATAAAGTGAGTACATTTCAGGCTGGCCCAAGTTTGAGTCATAGTGATTGTGGTGCATTTGAGAAAGGAACACATTCTGCCTGATGTTCTGTGCAGGCTTGGAGGGCTCTGCAAAACATACATGGTTCTGCAGAGGAGACATCTTGGGTGTGTTCTACAGACTAGTTCAGGTGAGACAAGGGGGTCCAGTTTCCCTGCCACCACCATCTCTGGCAGGGTGACATAGACTTGTCATGTTTACAGGTGCCCCTGCTCCTTCCATGGTGAACTTTGCAGATTTTATGTTGTTGTCCAGGCATAAACTGAGGGATCAGAGAAGAACAGGAACACAGATGTCATTCTGAGTCTAAAAATGTCTCCTACATTTTTTCTACAACTGAAGCAGAGAGAGACAAAATTCCAGGCACATTTGGCCACATGGTAATAATCCATAATCTAGAATGAAGCGGGAGGTAATTGTTCCTCTTGTAAGCTTGAGGCTGAAGCAGTTGGTGATTGTAGCCCCCAGAGACTTCAAGAATGAATACCCTGCCTAAATGCACATGAGCACTTGTCAGTTTATAGGGAGGAAAAATCAATATATTTACATATTCCTGGACACTGTTGCTAAGGGCAGCAGTCAGTGAAGCCAAATTTGGAGGCTTCCCCTAGCTGGGACACAGGCAAAACATGCAGGTACAGTAGCTGAATGCACAAAAGGGAGAAATGGAGATTTATAGGAAGGGATTAAAAAACATACCAGTTCTTTAGTTGTGCCACTATAATGCTCAAGGCCTGAAGTGTTTTTTATCTCCTGAGCAGCTGGGCAGTTTCTAACTGATCACTCGGGTGATTCTCCTCTTACCTTTGAAAAAAAAGAAGAAAACCATGCTCTATGCCAAGGCTTAGTGGCTTTTAAAGTTCTCCTTCCTTGCAGGAACTCAACCGTTTACGAAAGGCAGCTCTGGCCTTTGGGTTTTTGGAGCTGCTGAAGGGGGTGGCAGACATGCTGGAGAGGGAGTGCACCCTGCTCCCCGACACCGCCCACCCCGACGCCGCCTTCCAGCTCACACATGCTGCTCAGCAGCTCAAAGTGGCAAGTACTGGAGCATCAGAGTATGCTGCCTATGAGCACAACATTGCTCCTCTGCAGACAGACTTTTCCAGCAGCACCACTGAACGAATGTGAAGTCTCTGTTAGGGGAACTTCTGGAGATTTAAGATTCAAGGGGTTCCAGTTTTCTTGCCCTGTTTATTTTCTAGGGTCTGTTTAATTAACCGGAGAACTTCCTAGCAAATGGGGTTCCTGAATAACCATAGCTAGTTCATGGTGGCTTTAGTCAGATCTGGATGCTGTGGAAAATCTCCCAAAGTCAATTACTGTGTTGGATGATTGCTGGAAGTTACTCACTACATGTGAGGTAAGAGAGAAAAATCCCCAAAATGTGGCTACTACATAACTGAACTCACTGGTAAAGGTACCCTAGAAGGCAGCTACTGTGCTTTGTACTCCAACTTGATTAGTCCAAAGAAAACAGGGGTGAGAATCATTGTGCAAGATGAGATACACAGCTCATTTCAGGGTGTTGTCACTAGTCTTATGCCCAACTTGGAAGCCAGTTTGTACTGCCCTAATGAGTTACCACTTCCATTGCAGGGCTTATGCTAGTGAAAGTAACTTAAGCTTGTGATACATGGTGGTTTTTTTTAATTTGCATAATATTAATAAAGGGTAATTCTTAATGAAAATTTAAGTTGGATTTGTTCCATTTTCATAGCAACTAGGCTAAAACATTGACCTGGTGAAGGCTCAGCTCCCAGCTGCTTGTCACAAGAATTAAATGATAAATTATTACAACTCCTCACGTTCAGGGAAAGAAGGAACAACTCAACTAAAGCAAAATTTGGTTTTAAATCTTTATTAATAGAAACACATTCTTCCTGAAGGACTAAAATTCAGTAGTGTTAAGACCCATGACACCTTGCACTAGGTACCACAATTTCACTGAGAACTACAATGTATGAGTACATAGAGATTTCATAACAGAAGTTTAAATGCCCAGTGGAGAAATTACGAAGTATGAAAATGATCCTTGCTGTTCCATTACTCAACTAATTCAATCCTTTGACATACTTCAAACACAGGTACAGTGTGTGCTATAGTGAAATATTAAGTGTGTAAATAATGCTCAACTCTCCTGAGTAAAGTAACCTGCACTCTGCAGTGAGGAGGGAGTCTCAAGTGCCCCCGAAGAGCAGTTGCCTCATGCCTCCTGTTGACAGAACACATTTGTGAAATGCAGCCTGGAGCCTGTACAAGTTCTGTGTTACAGCTCCCTGTAACAGTATTTCCCTTCCTTTACAGTAACAATCACTGGGTCTACATCACAAACAGTAAGCTGTTTGTTACCTTTAACAGGAACAATAATTTTCTGGAGAATTCATAGTGTTTTACAGTAGAAAGAGATAAATAGTAACATGGCACTAAGCTAATCTCCACTTCAGTGCCTGTTCTGGATTGCTGGCCTTGCTTTGCCTTGCCCTAGGAGCAGTAGCAGTTTTTGTGGAGCAACCTGTTCATAACCATTATACAGTTTAGAGCAAACTTAGCTAAACTTGAGGCTTGAGGAGGCCAGAGAGATCTGGAATTAACTACAGGAGGCTAGGTGTGAAGAAGGACATGTGGAGATAAAGTCAGCTGAAACAGAGGCTTCCAGGTGAGGTAGAGGACCTGGAATTCAGGGGAAACTGCTCTTTTGTTTGTTGTTGCTGTTGTTTAAAGCAAGCACAGAGGTAAGGGTCCCTTTAACCCCTTTGTGGGATCTCACCCAGTGAGATGAGATACAAGCTATCAAAATAAAACAAAATTCAAGCCACTACTTCGTCCCACCAGGGGCCAACCAACAAGGCATATGCACCAACTCTCCAGTGCACCCCTAAATTTAAGTAGAAAAGCAGTCTGCTGCCCTTCCAAAGTCTATAAATAAAAACAGGAGCTACAGCCCTGCCAGGAATGATCAAAGGAGCCCTGGTCTCCCAAGAGAGTTCCATGTTTTCCCTTTGCTTTGGTGGGATGGAGCTCTGTTGGGATTTGTTCACGTGCTAAGAGAAGGTGGTACCTGTGTTTCCTTGTTTTGTTGCTTCAATGCTGGCATTACCAAACCTGACCATGTCAGAGAGCAGCAGCTTCTTTCCCCTGACACCTGGATAAGGATGTGTTGCTACAGGCCTGCTAGGCTCCACACAGCACTCCTGTTAAGGCTAAACTAGAAACAGATTAAATTGGTAGCACTTACATCAACATCAGATACATCCAGTTTCAATTCTGCAGCAGCAGAATGCAGGAGGGGTGTGTGTTGAGCAAGGTTACCCCAAACTCTAATAGACACCCAAAAACCTTTAACAAACACCCCAACACTGTTTACAGGGGTCTCAGACTGTGCTCCTCCTGTCACCAAGATGGACCCAAGGAACAGCAGGGCCAGCTAACAGGATATCCCAACATCAGAAGGCCTATCTGCATGCAAGAGTGAAAGAGCAAACCTCCAATTAAAAGATAAAACACTATTTCTATTTAGTGCTGCTCCACTGTTCATAAGCATATTATATGCAGATAATAGGATTTCTTTCTAATATGGTAGTTGACAGGATACAAGTTTAAGTGTTACTGTTCACTGGTAAATGTCATGCACAGGTGATTAAGAGGGAACAAAATACAGACCATGGGAATGTTACCTGAATTCACTATGAAATCACGAAATCTAATGAGATCATTTAATTTTACAAAATTCTTTACATTACAGGGAGTAAAACCATAAGAATTAGAGGCTTATCTTGTAATTGAGAGAAGTTTGATAAGAAAGCACTGCAGTCCTTCACTTCATCTTTCTCTTCTTTGGTCCAAGGTGCTGTTTCCTTTGCTTGTAGAGATGACGGTAGTTTAGAAATACCCCTGAAAAAGAATGAAGTGCTTATGTAAAACATGACTGTACCTTTTAATGCTAGATGGATGTTCCACATTTAAAAAAACCAAACAACAAACCAAAATCAACAACAACAATCAAAGCACCATACAAAAAACCAATAGTTTATGGGTGTGCAGAGTGTTGAAAAATAATGCAATTTGTTGTTTCTGTTGGGTGAGGCAGGGATTGCTGCACAGGCTGTTTGCTGTGGGCTGCTCAGAAGGTTGGTCTGTCACTTTTTAAAAGTTGCAACACTGGCTGTGCAGAGCTGGGAAAGGATCAACCAGGTATTTCAGAGTGAAAGCCAATTAAAGGTATCCTTTTTTGTCTGTGAAAGGGAGAGATCTAGTGCAAGTTCAGCTTAAAATTCTAGGTTAGACTCCCTTGACTTGCAGATACCCAGACCTCCTGGGTGTGCACATTACAGTTAACTTAGTTTAAAAATGTAACAGCAGAAACAATATGCATCAAGCACAATTTAAATCATAGTTAAATATCCTACTACTTAAATACACTAGTACTTAAATATCCTACTATTTAAAGAGCCTGGAAAAACATAACTTCATGTTGCACCAGTTAACAGTTTAGTTAAACACTGCTTTAATTTGAAATTATATTTAGATTTGTGCTAAATCATTCCAAAGCTCAAAGGTGAAACTAAGTATAATGAAGTTTTAAATAGCTTTACAAATTATTCTTATATCTGTAGATAATGCTAACTTGTTACCAAGGTCTCCTTGGTGGGCTAATCAGTGCTAATTGTGTTCCCCTCCATCCCTGACAAATGTACTAAAACAAGCCACAAGGATCATTCTCAACCTCAAGCAATTTAGTGTTGCCATAATACCCAAGATGCAGAAATTTCATTTTCTTTGACAAATACATTTATTCAGAGGAAACTGACCTTTTTATATCAACAGTGAGAAATACAATTAAGTTTCTTACCTAAAAACAAGGCTATAAGGCATATTTGAAGCAAAAATGAAAACTGGATTGTGACGTTCAGTGGGTTTGGCAATGCCAGACTGTACTTCCCTGTTTCATTGAAGATTGGAATGGACTGAATGATAGAGACAGCTGAAAGCAGAAGGCCACCATTGTTACCAAACACAGATAAGAGATACAATTGCCCAGCCCACACCAACTTTTCCAAGCTATTCCCTTCTTAATTTGCTAGCTCGCATGAATTAAACCGATTTTAAAGCTTTTTTTAAACATGCAGTATAGAAGAAAGCAGCTAGATCAGCCAGGAAGGCAGCTTAGCTGTCAAAGTGAAGTTGCCTGGTGAGACACTGTTCTCACACACAACCATAGCCTGCAGGGCCCATGCCTGCAGTATTCACAGACTTCCCTTTCCCTGGAATTGGGCAATGCCCAAACCTACTCCTGGCTCACAGAAACAGGTTCTGACAGGTATGATTACACACAGTTCTTACAGCTAGAAGCTGAGCAATGATATGCTGCTTAAATAAATAAAAATTTAAAAATAATCCAGATCTCCTAGGACAGTCATTCTCCAAGCAGACAGGGAGCAGAGCCTTCTCTGGGCAGCAGTGTCTCAGGTTATGCTGCTTGCAGAGGAAGAATCAGCCCCTGCCTGCCCTGTACAGTGATTTACAAGATCATGTCAAGATCTGTGGGCTCGTCTGAACCTGAGCTGGGCTGACAGGCCTTGCAGCCCAAAGCAAACACTGTTGAGTACGAGCAGAGGGAGGAGAGCACTGCTGTCCTGTCCTGCTCTGACGGAGTGAAGCACACAAGTGGTCACTTTGCAAGGTAACCTTTTGTTTTCCTCTCCAGTGCCCAAAAGGGACTTGTTTTCATATCAAAAAAATATTTGATTTGGTAAGAAAAAAACAACAACTTATATTTGGCTCAGCTCAAAGTAAGTATCTATTTGTTTTTCTATTATTATTTTTCAGTCCAGCAGCCAAACCAAAAAAAGTGAGTTATTTGCCTTGACTAAAAGTTGTTTATTAAACTTTTTCAGACATACCTTCTGCTAAGCCTCCTAAGGGGTAGAGAGGGATCCAGGCAGTGTAACGGAGCCAGGTCAGTGGTTTCCATTCAATACCAATGCATGAAAGCATGTAATATGGATACCTAAAACCAGAGTGCAAAGAGACAAGACACTTGAAAATGGAAGCTGCTACTAGAATTATTCTTGCATCTACCTGCTGTACTGAAGAGTCAACATAGTGATGTAATATTCTAAAGTTGTTCCTATGGATCATGATGAACACACCCTTATTTGGCAGTTCACAGAACTGATCATATAGATGAATGTAACTGCCTGGCTTGCCTAATAAACCTTTCAAAATACTTCTTTTGAAAGAGAAACAGAACATAGTGCAGCTCACTTGACAATGGAAATTCAAAGCAAGAGAACCTTCAAGAGAAATAGCAACAGGTTTCTCTAGGCTCAGGGCATTATTATAATTTTCAGACTCCAGCCTTGTCTCAGCTTTTGGTAGGTGGAACAAGCTCTGAGAGCTGTGATGGTCTGTGCCTAAAGGAGATGTTCCTCTCTGGGGCCAAGACACTAGAGCCACTCTTGCAAAACTTAAAAGGATCAAACCTCCTTTCAAGAGTTCCTGGGAACAACACCTGCTAGAGGAAAAATCCCACAAACCTAAAGAGCTCGATGATACTCCAGAAATAAAATACAAAGAACACCACAGGTTTGCTCTGCATTTCCTCTAGGCCGCCAAGGATAACAAATAAAATAAAGCTTCTTCCAAATACCTGTTTAAGAAAAACAAGTTAAGGAACAGTCTTCATCACAAGAAAGAGCAAGTCCTTGCTGTCAAAAACATGGAAGATGTGTACTTTTCACATGTGAAACATGCTGAGCACAAAACTAACTGCAGCTGAGCTGTGACCTGCTTCTGAGTATGGGTTTTGCTCTGTATTTAAGTGCAATCCAACAGACCTAGTCTTAAATCATCTATCCTCATTTGTAGGCAAAATAACCACAATCAGGATAAAAAAGGCACTGACACCAAATAAAAATCACGTACTTTTCATCAGCCACTTCTTGCTTTTGCTGTCCTGAACTATCCTCCCTAGGTAATGGAAGAAGACATCCTGCCACAGCTGAATCTGGGAAGCATGGATTCCTGCCTCTTGAATATATTCTCTAGTCCAGTGCCAGTGAGGTTGTGTCACTTATTTTAGGCGAGTCTCAATGCGTGTATTTACTTTAAACACAGGGAGAGCAAGGAGAAGAATCTTAAAGCATTACCTGCATTACAGTAGGTGCCAGTGGTGATCTGACTAGTCCTATGAGGGAATTCACAATCTCCATGATTGCCAGGGTCTGACAGAAATACATCATGTCAGCAATAGTGTGAAATGTATCATAGAAGGAATCTGTAAGACACGAGATGCCATTTTAGAGAACTTCATTCCTGTGTTCAGGAAGCTGGTGAGCAGCATGGCTTTTAACAGGATTCTAGTTGTAGTAAAATCCATTATGCATAATTATGTAACTTCATTATAGACCTTACCTTGATCTCACAGCAGTTAGGCCAGAAACATTGCTCAAGTGCTCTTTCATCAACAGAAGGATCAAGGACTATTTCAGTGATCACCAAAGAAAGCCTACAGTGCTGTACCTCAGCAGAATGAATCCTTCTTGCTTCAAAAACAAAATATTCTGCCCAGCTCATTTTCAGAAATGCTAACATTGCAGTGAGTGGGACATTTTGCTCCACCTGATTTTAGAAGTAATCTTGGCAAAGTCAAGCACTGTTCATCAGAACATGCAGTTGTGATTCACAAGAGGCCAGTGTTTTTCTGCCCTTGACACTGTGATAGCCCTTGAGAGGCCCTTGCTGAGAGCTTCAGTGATTTATTCATGGTATTGTTTCCTCAGTGTGTCTTCCTTTAGATGTCACTATTTAGAAAGTATTAAAAGCAAACAAAACTCCTGAGGTAAGTAAAGTAGTGCTTATTACTTGCCTTTTCCTAAGATGAACAGTCGTACTGTCATGTTCACAAAAATCCAAGAGAATCCCAAAAACTGTACCAGATTATACATGACTAAGTATCCTTTCTTCAGGTGTCTGAAAGCTGAAATCAATAATAAGCACATCAGGCGAACAGAGTACAAAGGTTAAGTGTTTCTGCAAAGAGCAGAGCTGCAAACCAGGCTTTCTGTGAGAATAAAGCTCACAGGGGAAGCTGCTGCTTGTGATGACAGGGTTGCTGTGTGCTCCCTGGGTTCTGCCTGCTGTTCCCACCTGCTAGGACTCAATTCTTGCTCATTGGGTTTTTGGTGGGGTTTTTTTTCAAATTCCTTGGAAACTGCAGACCATTTTTATTAAATTTCTAAACAGCTCACAATACAAAGATCCCCCTCCAAGCTGCACCCAGCCAACCAAAATTGCTCTGTCAGAGCTGAGGAGAGCTGAGGAGTGGCAGCAGCTTCCTGACCCCCACTGCACGCTGGACAGGTGCGGTTACTTACGGTCTTTTGGGACTCTGGATTCTATTTTCATTTTGTTAATCTTTTCTTCTTCCTTAGGATGAAGGATAAGGTTTAAAAGAGTGTTACTGTAATTAGCAAGTGATTTGTTAACTACATTACTGCAAAGCTAGGGGGCTTAAAATGCAGCTAAGCAGCCAGTTGCTAGAGGGTTTTAATTTTCACCTGCACAAAACAGCAGATTCATCATCCAGAAGTTATGGTGCAGGAAAAGCTAGAGGGTGTTAACTTGTTATCCTGCCTTCACTATGTATTTTATTCTAGTAATTACATGCTTTTGCTGAGAAAGCCTGCTGTTTTCTGTGTTAATTCTCAGTTGTCACTTAGTTGTTTCTTAGTACTGTTCCTTAAAACATTTCATGACCCACCAGTGACCTGAAGGGAGCTGAGAACATCCAGCCCAGGCTCTCTGCCTGCCCCTCACCACTGCTTCCTGGCTCCTGGCACTGCAGCAGCCCTTCCTCCTTCACAGTTAGCTCAGTGGCTGTGGAGGGGAACAGGGCAGTGTTTGTTGTCAAACAGATCTGAAGGAATGGGGCCTGGTCAAGTCTTCTCCAAGCTGTTCTTGCATCTTCCGGATGCAGGAAGCTGCTCTAGCTTTACCAGATGGTGGGAATGCACCATCAGGGTCAGCTCGTGGCTCAGGAAAGAGCCTCAGGAATCCCTGCTTTTCAGACAATGCCCAGGACTGGCGTCTGCAAATCCATATGGCACATTGATACAATCCTCACATAGATCAGGACACAGGGCTGGGAAGATGCCAGGTGTGAGGTGTGAGCCCTCGGCTGCAGATCCCAGCCAGCACTGAGCTATTGAGAGCCACCACTTCAGGTTCAAGCTGCTGCTCCTTCTAGACCCAAGTGTTTGTGTTTCTGAACCCCTGCTTACAGTCTGAGCCGTTTAACTAATTCTACATGGGACCTGTGTGAAAGAGCAGTGACAGTCAGCATGCCAGACAATTCCAGGTAAATGAAGAACACGAGTTCACGTGCAGGGGAGCAGCTGCCCCTGCTTTGTAGCTGGCAGCACAAGCCACGTGTGCCCCCAGGACTGACCTTCTCCCTCAGCTCAGTTTCAGCATCAGATTCATCCAACCAGCGGTCGAAGTCAGGAGCCAAGAAGAGCGGGCGCTTCTCTTGCTTGGTGAGTCTCTCCCACCAGTTACTCTCTTTTTTCTGCACAGTGATGTTCAGCTGCCTTTGAGTCACCCTGCACACAGGCTGAGGGCAGACACAGGACCATAGATCAGCAAAAGTCCTAAGAAACAAGCCCCGAGACTTGAGTTGTACCCAAGCTCTCCTTGTCAAGGAGGCAGGAGTGGCATGGGCTGCTGCAGCACAAGCATCTCTCTGCCACCCAAGGTGTGAAGCAAAGGGCAGCCCCATGGAAGATGGCAACTGTGATGGCTATAAAAGTTGATAAGCAGCCTGAAAGCCTGCCTGTACTGGACAGCAACACTGCATGCCACCACAAGGAGCTCAGAGCCTAGCACTAGCCTTCCTAGGCAGAACCCATCACCCTGGCTTTAGACCTTCTTGGATCTAGTACTGTGAGCCACCATCTCCTCTAACTAGTGGTAAAAGTAACACTGCCATCAGCCATGGGTCCCTGTCCAAAACAGGGGACCCTGTGTGACATCTGCTACAGCAAGAGAATAGCCAACAGCCTTAGGAAACACCCGAAGATGATGATGAGCTGACAGACCTGGCAGTGTGGTCACTGCCACCCCATGAGGCCTCTCCACCACAGCCACACTCTTCATAATGGCAGCTCGGAACCTCTCCATCCTTACAGCCCATAGTGTTGTCACCTTGGGTGCCCACCCTTACTGCCACCATCACATCCCCCTGCACCTCAAGCCTGTGCCAAAGTGCTCTGCAGGGAACTGCCCCTCGGAGCAGCTGAAGAGCCATGAACTGTCCACATGACACCAGCACTGCTCCCTCAAGGCTGGCTGGCTGCTCTTGGGACATCTGAAGGCTGCAACTATAATTTACAGCTACCAATGCCTGGTCCCTGTCTGTCAGAAGCTCCATCTCTGGCGGGTGGCCAGCCTGGCACCAGCAAGGGGCACTCATGGTGCACGTCAAAGCTCAAAGAAAACCCTGGGCTGCAATATTGCCAGTCCTGACCTTCCATGGTTACACAGATTGCACGGAGCAGGTTCTCCTCCAGCCCCTTCACAGTGACTCAGTGATGAGACTTCTGGAAGGAGGCTGCTCTGCAGAGGCAGGGGTTGTCTTCCAGGCCTGGCTCCCAGCACAGCCCAGGGCTGCCAGCACAAGGGACAAGCGCAGGCAGTGGTGGACACCTCTCCCCAAACTGTGGACCAGGCAGCTGCTGCTTTACAGGACAGATAACAAACTGGTGACAGGATCCTGGAACCAAGGGATGTTCAGTGCCTGACACTCAGTACCTGCTAGGTGCCACCCGAGAAACCTGCTGGCCAACAACAGACCCTGGGAATTCATTCTTGAGCCACCTCCTCCCTTGTTGAAGCAGCAGAGGTAAATGGTGGCTCCCAACTGCAGCTCTTCCCAGCAGGCAGCCAGGAATCAGCAGCACAAATCCTGCACTGGCAGCAGAGCCCTGGGTCTTCCTGCGCTCCCAACAGCCTTGAGAGGTCAAGACAGACTCTCCTCTGTGAGGAACAAAGAGGGACTGCTCTTCCAGCCAGGCTTTCTTCTTACTGGACTACAATTGCAATTAAGAAAAGATTTTGCAATAGAAGCCACCATGGATCTGTCCTGGCAACCTAAGAAATCTGCACAAGCCAGGAACACTGGTTCTCATGACTTTTATTGTGTTGGGCTGCAAAAGAAGCCAGGAAGCATCACCCTGACCCTTTGCAGCACAGTGTTCCCCAGCTCACCAGTCAAGGCTGCATCAGACAACACACTGCCAGGTTCTCCCATTGTTTTGCTACTCTAAATCCTTAAAAAAAAAGCCAGACAACTGCTGTCTAACAACTGAGACCTGTTTCCATGAAGGCTGACCCATGTGAGCACTATCTCCAGGGAGGTGATTTGCATTCAGGCAGGATGGTGGCTGAGCACTGGGACAGGTGACTGCCCCTGATGGCTTTTGGTTTGCAGCAGTTACAGAGTTACCAGGAAAATCTAAGCAGCGTTTGATGGACTTGCTGCACAGCCATTTTCCTTTCAAGTTTTTAAAATGTCACTTGTTCTTTCCAAGAGTTATAGAAGTAAAAATACCTACTTTGGGCTCAACCGGTTCTAGGAACTCGATCTGGAACTCGTAGATGTTGTCCCCTTTGGCACCATGACCCTGAGCTGAAAGACAAGAAGTGAGAGTCAGGGTGAAGGTCCCTGGCAGCTCCACGCTCCCCCCTGCAGAGAACACTTCATATGCAGAAATCCAGCAGTTGTTGCTTCCTCCTCTCCTGCTGGGAGGCACGAGGAAACCACAGGCTGACAGGGAAGAAGCAAACAGCCCGAAAGGTCGCTCTGAGGTGCAGTTCCTGCAGCTCTGCAAGGCGCAGGAGAAGGGTCCTTGCTTGCAGGAAGGCAGCAGGTGCCCTTCCCCAGAAGAGAAGGCCAAACGGCTCAGAACTAGCTTGGATCCAACTGGAAATCCCCTCTGCTGGACGGGCTTGGAGGGATCCAGCCCCCAAGTGCCCGGGGAGGCCCCAGAAAGGCTCCAAACCCCCCAGGCTTTGTTTAACTTCCACCCTTCCAGGCTGTAAACCGATCCCGAGGTGCCACCGACAGCCCCGATCAGGTGGCCCTGGCGGGGCTCGGCAGGGAGGCAGCAGTTCCTGGACAACCCATCTCTGGGAAAACCGCTCAATAGACGAGAAAACCCC